TTTTATATATTTCTGACAGTGCATTTTTATCTTTCATCTGCCTCATCTTTACTGTGGCATTTTATATTTTATACTTTTAAACTCTTAATGAATGTACTCCCTATAGAATGAAGTTACACCCTGGACCATTGTTAAAGACTGCATTGAAATTGTACAGTGATAAAATCTTCTATATTGGGCTGGTCCCCCTTGAGCAAATGCTAGCGTGTGATGATCAGTAGGTAATTAAATGACAGTAGACTAGGCAGAGTTCAGTTTCAACTTTACAACACTTTATCCGATGCGACACCATGCCAGCAAACAAGTTCAGTGTTGCTCATCTCCCTGAGGAACATCTGCCCAAACTTCCTTGGATACTTTCTTGAAGAAAGCAGACGACTCCAGAAAAACCTGCAGCCAAGACTCCTGAGAAGACTCCAGCCAAGAGCCCTTCAAAAAGTCCAACCAAGAGCCTTTCAAAAAGTGCAGCAAAGTCACCTCAAAGAAGTCATTCCAAATCAACGTGACTGCTATTTACAATATAAGTACATTAATGTAGCTATATTAGTCATCTATAATTGATCAAGTATAAAATTCTAGGGTATTTTTGGTGAAAATAGGGTATCGGGCCTTGGTTCAGGAACCAATCCCGCATTTATAACATTGTTTTTTTAATGAGAAAATTGGTTCCGAGTTACGTTTCGACTTAAAACGCAGTTTTCAGGAACCAATTATGTCCTAAGTCCAAGGATGGCCCGTATATAAGGTTTGCATTGTATAGTATAGTATAGTATAGTATAATTTTCAAGGTATAGAATCTAATTATTGAAGGTCTGCCTTGAATTCGTCCCCCCTCCAACTGCTACAGCAGGGGAAATGAATCTGGAGGGTCAGGTAGCCACTTCTGTCTTCTGCTTCCCCCCACCCCACCCCTCAATTTTTCCTCTGACAATCTCTTCCACCTCTCTTTACTGTCAGACCCCGCTCTCCCTGAGTACATGGAAGCAAAGAGTAAATCTGAAAACAATGACCTTGAAATTGAACATGGCTGCAGCAATTCACATATAGTACCTATACACCCATAGATCATTCAGAACTGATGCATATTGCCTTTCTTTGAAACTGCTGAAAAGTTTAAGCACAGATACTCCATAAAAACACTTTGAACAGCACTTTGTCACCTATTAATATACACAGCACAAACTATGCATGTTAGTCCAAAACCAAAGGTTTATGACTTGCCATATAGTACATTGGGCTGAGCCCCACCAGAGTCAATAGGATTTAAAGCCATGGTCACCCCACAGCTCAACATTTGTGCATACTCAGATACCCTTCACAAAGAATCCATGTGCTTATTAGCCCCCACTCATGACTAGAACCAGGTTTTATTCTCAAGAGTCTTGGGATGCTCTAAAAATTTATATGCAGATGAAGTGCAGGACGACCTAGTCTGGCTTTAACTAAGGGCAGAGCCACACTAATCATATTCACCAGGCTGAGAGAGGGGGTGGCAGGGGGATTCTGGGTGAACTGCTTGGGGCCTCATTTGGTGATGTTTGCCAGGCATTTAAGGCTGTGTGATTCCAGGAATCACTGGAAACGGGAAAGAAAGGCACAGCTCAGCTGTGGTAGTGAAGAGGAAGTCAAACTGTACACACCATAATTACTCTTCATGACTTGGGGAGGGGGAAGAGGGGGAAAAAAAGTTGGCCATGAGGGGGACTGTGCTTAATGGGCACTACTGAATGCCATATTCCAGGTTGACTGCCCGAATCTAGCCTTCCAGTAAGCTCCCATCAGCATGTTTGCCCAATGTGGGCAATGCGTTTTATAGTCATGCTCAGTGCTGGCTGCACTTAATCAACTTCATAGTTGCTTTCCATTGGTGAGCATTTTTAGCAGCAGTTTAATGACGGACAGTGTACTTAATGAGGTTTCCTTGTATGCAATAGGGATCTTTGTAAATCACACCAGAAATGCCCCCTGCACTTTAAAACCATAGTTTTTGCTTCCCTGGCGATCAGCAGCAAACAGCCCAGCCAGTGGGGCCCCTCCGCCAATCAGAGGTGGGTCAGGCACGTGGCAAAACTAAAAACATTAGAAAAGCCACTGTGGGGGGCACTTCTGGCACAATTTATGGAAGGGATTATACAGCACAATTTATAAGACGAGGGGCTTTTTTCCCCCCATGCCAGTTGGGTGGGGGGACCTCATCTTATATTTGGGTAAATATGGTAATAATTCAATATCAATATCTTCCTTTATTCCTGCAGTACTTAAAGCTTTGGCTTAAATATACATCAAATGAGCACTGCAACTATATGCTTTAAGTTCCAGGTTTGCTTCATTATCTTCTTCCAAGTTCCTTCTCTTCTTTGCTACATTTGCATCATTAGTTCCAACACCTGTGATGACTTTCCTGATCCTTTGCATCCAAATACAGAACCTACCCCGCTTGAAGGATCAAGCCCCTAATACATGAAATACTGTACCATACTTTTAGAGCTGGACCTCAAAAGTTAGATTTCCCCCCCTCATTCTTGTATAGAAGGGAATCAGTCTTATCTCCAAAGTTTTTAGCAGAGGCTCACTGACTCAACATAATATTTTATTTAAATTATTTTAATAGATTAACTGTATTCGTAAATGTTAAATGGAAGAAGTTGAAGAGGTAGAAAGAGATACAGAGGCCCCAACAAGGCTGGCTACATAGCAGAGAGTGGGTGGGGGAGGATGCAACCATGAAGCCTATCGTGTGGGAGGCAGGAATAGGGGAGGTTAGGGCACAGCACTTAAAGGAGTAGAAGATACAGAGTCCCCATGCAATGAAGCCACATGGTTGCACAGTTGTGGGTTTTAAAGATACACACGGACACAAGTAACAGCATGTGGGGTACACCATAAGTGTTCTCAATCATGGTCCATTGGAGGGGGCAGTCAAGTAGTCCCCTCCACCGGGGTTGTTTCCGGGAAGTCCGCTGGAGTCCTCATACTGGCACCCGTCTGTGACATGTTCCACGTAAATGTCCCTGGACCATCTAATGGTGTTGGACATTATGGGGCATCTCATCACTTTGGTGTAGCCGCAGCATAATCAGCAGGTGTACCAGACTCTCTCATTACTGGGGTCCCATATTCCAAGTGCCCCAAAGATCCACACCTCAACCGTTACCTCATACCCCCACCTCCTCAGGACATCTGCCATTGGCTAGTACTTAGCTTCCACTTACAGGCTTCAATGAAGGCTTGTAGCCAGTTCTCAAACAGTATAGTGATGTCGACCAACACAACATGCCTATTCTCATCAGCCACGATGTCTGGGCACAGCTGGCTCTTGCAGCCTGGGACAATGCAATTGACAGGCCTGGTCCCAACTGAGACCAGAATGGCCTTCAGCAGCAGGTCCTGGACAGTCTTGTAGCAAAGCTGCTATACTCTGGCATAGGGCTTGCAGGCACACAGCATGTGGGGGAGAGTCTCCAATTCATAGACGTATTATGAATCCTTGTCAAAACCTCGTCATGGTTCCCATACTGGATGGCACCGTCAGTTGAGTTGGGAGCAGTGGATGAAATGCCAGTCTGCAACATACGTCAAGCTCCCACCGGGCAGGAAGTGGTTACTCACATCCCACTGTGAGGTGCGCTCAAAGACCTTACCCTGCCTTCAGGATTTTGCCTTCAGGTCTCTGGAGTACTTGGCTCTGACAACATCCTTTAGGAACCTCTGCAGGCAGGTCCTCAGATGAGGGAGGTCACAGTGATGTGGCTGGTATTGAGGGCTGGGAACAGTAAGATTCTCAACTCCTGGCACTCCTTGAGGCAGGTCCAGGAACAGTAGATACACTTCCTGAGGCCGCATGTGATATTGTGGACCCAGCTACACCGCAAGGCATCTCAGCTTCATCTCAGCTGAACTTGCCCTCCAGCAGGCCACTCAGGAAAGTAGGTGGCTAGGCCTCTGCCAGTGGGCTGCCTGACAATTCTCCTACAGGCCATCTCCCTCAGGGGACTGGCAGAAGTGCTGCTCAGCAACTCGTCAAGTCAGGTCAGAAGGCGTGGGTGACCACCATGATGTCACAGACATCACCCATGCAGGGGATGTTGGCACCTCTCTGCCAGTAGAGGATGTATGAAGTCTCATTGCTGACCCACAGCAGCAGGTACAGCCACTTCTTCAGCAACCCTTCAGTGCTCATCATCCACCTTCTTGAGGCTCCTTCTTGCACTACAGTCATCCCATTGTCAGTGGGCGAGATGCACAACATCCCAATCTGGACTGGAGTCAAGCAGGGCTTCCTGCTCAGCCCATCTTTCACCTGACAATGGAACTGCTCCTTCAAGTGGTAGCAGAAGGCCCTGAAGAGCTCAGCCTCTGCAGACAGAAGCTGAGCTTTCTGGCGTGCACCAATGACATCGCTGTTCTTGACAGTGACTCCAAACAGCTGCAGAAGATGCTGGACATCAACTCTGAGGCAGCCAAGTGGATGGGGCTACATGTTTCCAACTGTGCCTTCCTGCATGTCAACTGTAGGAAGAAAAGCACTGTCCTGGACTCCACTGTCACCATCCAGGACAAGCAGATGAGGTGCCTGAGGGATGGCAAGAGTGACCTCTACTTGGGAATGCCCACTGATCACTGGGTGAAGCAGATACCAAAGGAAGCCATCTGAGGGATCATGCAGGATGTCCATAAGTTGGATTAGTCCCTGCTGGCCCCCTTGTTAGTCTGAAGAAGCTTGATGGTCCCTTCCATCGAGCCTCTTAAGACAAAGGCAATATGAGGGATGAGGAAAGTGTTCATCTATCAATCTTCTGCCAGGGGGCCAGCAGGGACTAATCCAGCTTATGGACATCTTGCATGATCCCTGACATGGCTTCCTCTAGCATCTGCTTCACCCAGTGATCAGTGGGCATTCCCAAGTAGAGGTCGCTCTCCCCATCCCTCAGGCACCTCATCTACTTGTCCTGGACTCCACTGTCACCATTGAGGATGGTGCTTTTCTTCCTACAGTCAACATGCAGGAAGGTACAGTTGGAAACATGTAGCCCCATCCACTTGGCTAGCTTGTTGACCAAGGCTTCAAAGATCTGGAAGGTTTCAACCTTGGAGAACTCCTCCATCCAGATGGCTCCTCCATCCTATATGGCCTTAATTGATACTTCAGCCTATGCTGTATTAAATTAAAATTTAATTTTAAGCTGGCTTTGTTTTATAAATAAATCGAATCAAATAATCGTATTTAAATAAAAAAAATCTATTTTTTATTTTTAAATATTCCATTTTATCTACCTTGAGATAAATCTTTTTAACTTTAGAATGAGTCAGTCAATACCATAAGTTCTGGAGATCCCAATAAGAGACAGGCAAGAGCCAATCATGCATCTCACAGGGAAGTAAACCCCACATGCAGAGCCAGATCTTTGATTGAAGCTCAGGTAGCCTGTAACTGCACCGTGAACAGAAGACTCAGGAGTCTCATTTCTTGACAAACACTTAACTATAAACGTGATGGGCCATGGAGATTTCCTCAATTTTCAAACTGGAAAAGGATGAAGAAGGTATATCCATTTCTGTAGGCAAAAAGTTTAGCTATTTCCTGATTCCCATGCATCTCTTTGACCCTCTCTTCTTCCACTGCTCCCGCACATGTGATTCAACAGCATTATATCTGGGATACTCAGGTCTCTCATTATGAACAGATCACGTAGTCCTCTCTTTACTGGGAGCTGGATGGGATTCCATCTCAGCTTATATTCAAATCTAAATGAGCACCTTCAGCTTTCATTGCTCTTGACAAACCAATTTAAGAAAACTCCATGAAGAAAGATACCAAAGTTGCGTACAGACCATACACAAACAGCTCTTCATCTACCACACAGACTTAGCCTCCTCTAGGAGGAAATACTGCCACTATTAAGCAAAATAGCTATACACAACAGTTCAGGTTCAGAAGTGAAGAAAAACAACTTCATGAAGAAAGAGCATTTTTCTTTTATTGAAACACCTGAGTGAGGTCCAGCATGCCTTCTATGTACTGTGTGTATCAATAGTGATGAGATCATCAGTAACCTGCATGGGGCTGGTAATAGTATAGGTTTAGGTCCGAGCATACAACACGACACAAAAAGCAGCATCAGCGATGCATCTAACTGCTTAAGGTGAGAGGCAGGATTGCTTTAAGCATAAGTTAGAGGTCTTCTAAAACAGCCTTAAATCCAGGCCATTCATTTGCACTTTACGACTTCATAGTCCAATTAGGATGATTAACCTGCTGAGATTTCAAGTTTTAAACAGGGACAATTAAAGTCAAAAGCACACAAGAAATCTAGTTAAAAACTTGACAGCAATGAAATACAGTTGTTTTGTAAATTTAATATACTGCATCACATTCATCATTGCACTAGGAGCACAATCAGAAAATGACATTTTTTGCTCAATCTGGCCACAGAAAGCATTCTATAGCTGTGATCAAACAAGTGCACAGCTGCAGACCACTTCAAAATGGCCAATCAGGTGAAAATCTGAACCCACATTGTTTCAAAACAGAATGTCTTCTGTAACTTTTGTCTGCATTCCCTCCTAGCCTGTTGCTGTGTTCAGAATGCGAGTGGGGAAAGGGAGTGGAGGGAGTTCAGTTTGGGGGGTTTTTCAGCCCTTGCCAGAGGGTGGGACACATACAGTGGATTCACCCACCCCATCACCCTCCAGTGCCACCTGGGGAATCCCTAGAACAGCTTCCTTTGCTCCCTTCCCCACTCCCATTTTGAAAACACCACAGGCTGGCAGGAAGGAAGGGTCACTGCTAGGGGAAGACATATGCAGGTGGCAGCCAGTAGCTAGATTCCCCTCCCCACAGGAACCAACAGTGAACTTCTGCTTGGTTGGGGGATCATGTCAACTCAGAACACTTCCTGCAAAGCACTCTCAGGTACAGCAGGGAGTTGCACTTGTGTCTGTGCCCCAAGTTAGCTAGCACTTGCAGATTTTGGTTTGCAGTCAACGTCTTGTTTACTGTACAAACCAGTGGTGAAGAACCATCAACACTGCTGTTTTTTCTGTGTGCAGTTAACAACTGAAAGACATCAGTATAGTAAGTTAAGTCAGCTCTTCGCATAGTTCTCTCCCTTCACCTTTTTCATTACAGATCAAGCTGATAACAGATTGGAAATTCATTTCTGGTAGCCATGTGTAGAATACAAGCTTACTATTTCAGAACATGCTCTACTTTTAGAGTCTGGATATTACCAAGTGCTGAACTATAGTTAAGAACTATAGTTAACCAGCTAAGAATTGCAGCCCAGAGGGTTTTTCCATCTATTTACTCCTCTGTGAAATCCTATGAAATATGAACTTTCATTTCTACTCAGAACTTTTATAGTCTTTTCTCTGATGCCTGATGAAGGGTGTTTGTACCCAAAAGCTTGCAATTAAAGAATTTTTTTGCAAAAATCTTGTTAGTCTAATAAAAGATATCACCTCTGCCCATGAGCCCTGATTGCTTTGAACTATAGTTAAGAGAGTTGTCACTATATTTGATTTAAAGATGCCTGGACTGATTTTCAAAGGTGCCAGGAATCTGCAGTTCCCAATGAAGGTAACGGGAGCTGACTCTACACCAGGGGCAGGCAATTATTTCGGGCAGAGGGTCGCTTACCCAGTTTTGGCAGGCTGTCAAGGGCTGCATGGGTAGCCCCGCCCCTTGACAGGTGCCCCGCCCCCTGGTTACCATCTTGGGACCAATGTCCAAGGGCCAACACCGGTGGGGCCCAAAGCAGGGCACAGGCTGGCAGGGGTCTATGGATGAGAAGACAATGTATCGGTAGAAGACACCTCTAACATTAAATCAGTTTATGTGTAATGTCTGTCCTTAGTCTCCACATTCGATGGACTGGGGGGCCTTGGATGAGAAGACAGAGGCTAGGAAGACACCCTCTGCTCTCCCATCCTCACCTGGGCTGAGGACAGAAAGTTTCTTCAAGCTGCAGACCACGCTAATGTGATACAGCTTTTGTAATCTCAGGATTAGATACCTTCACAGAAGCTCATCTTGTACACAATGCCTCTCTCTGACACCACAACAGCTAGTCCTGAGAGCACTGCTACCACACTGTAACAGGGCCCCTACCTCATTACAGAGAATGGGGAGCAAACCCCAGGGCCTGCTGGCCAGACAAACCCCCAGGTGCAGACTTAAGGGTGGAAAAGACTCAAGCAAATACTCACCACAGAACCAGCAGTAACAGCAACATTAGGAGTCAGGGGCTTGCATAGAAGCCCTGCAGGTTCCCTGAGGCTGCCCCAACAAGCCAAATCTGCAGTAGCTCTGGGAAGCAGGTAATCAGCAGGGGAGCCCTACAAACACAGGCTCTGAGCCACACGGGCAGTCTGGCCCTGCAAACTGCAGGGGAAAGAGCTCCTGGCTAGGAAAGCTGCAATGGAGTGCCTGATGAACCACTAAGCTGCCTGGGAACTACAAGCAAGACCCTGAGAGCCTACAGGAGGACATAACCCAGAGCTAGGGTTATGTTGGTACCCAAGGAAGGCTGCCCTTTACTTACCTACCTTGATGGGGGTGGCCGTTAGACCTTAAACTCCAGGAAGGCTGATTTAAACTAGACATAAGAAAAAAGCTCTTTACAGTGCGAGTGTCCAGGGTCTGGAACAACCTCCCCACAGAGGTGGTGCAAGCACCTACTCTGGACTCTTTCAAAAAACAGGTGGATGTATTTGTTGCTGGTGTCACTTGATCCCAGCTGACTTCCTACCTATGGCAGGTGGGGGGGCTAGACTCAATCTCATAAGGTCCCTTCCAGCCCCTAATGTCTATGAAATCTATGAAAAATCCAGTCTCTCTCTTCCCCACCTCTTGTCAGTCAACACGTAGAACTACAGGTTTGGGGGGCTTTTTCTCCTTCTCTCTTCTCTTCCTAGATTCATTTGGTGCATCAAAATGAAAGATTCAGGATGAATAAAATAAAATTACACTGAGCTTCAGGAAGCAGCACCTGTCTTCATGACTTGTTTCAGAAAGAGCAAAAAATGCAATTTTTTTAACCACGCTACTGACTATAACATGCAGTAACTTCCAGCAGTCTTTTCTGTGCTAAGTCCCCCAAACTTGAGTGACAAGCCTACTCAAAACATGTTTGGTTCTAAAGTTGTCAGCATGTCATATTATACACACAAAGCTGTTCTTCTGTGCAATCAAGTATGACCAGTATTATTTAGACCAATAATTTAGGCAAAAACTGAGGACTACACAACATTCTGCTTCTTTGCCCATAAGTTTCCCCACTGTGACAGGGAGCTGTCACATGGCCGGTCTAACCGTTGGCCCGCCCAACTGTCTAGGGCAATCTGCCTACCTGACTCGCCTACCACGCCTTTGATCCAACTAACAGAGTAGTTGTTTAAAGGTGGGGGCTGCCCATTTTACTGCCCGATGCCAAGGGCATAATACATGGCTCCATACCGCCCCTACACCACTGTCCATGCCTTGCAGATGGCATCACTATATGGCTCCAGACCCACACTGGGTCCCACCACATTCCAGCCTGACAGTTTCATAGTTAGCAGGGTCGGAAGGGACCTGAGCAGATCATCAAGTCCGACTCACTGCCATGGCAGGAAAGAGTACCGGGGTCAAACAACCCCAGCAAGGTGATTGTCAAGCCTTGTCTTAAAGACCCCCAGGGTAGGAGCCAGCACCACTTCACTTGGAAGTCGGTTCCAGATCCTAGCCACCCTGACAGTGAAGTAGTGCCTCCTGATGTCTAATCTGAATTTACCCTCTGCCACCTTGTGACCCGTATTTCTAGTCAGACCCCGACCCAGATCCTTCCTAGTTAGGCAGCCTAACCTCTGTCAACATGCAGAGCTGCAAACTCCCTAGACCCCTTTCCCTTCCGGCAGTGGCCCCCTTGGGGACCTTTGGCCACACAGGCCCTGGCCTCACTCTGGGCCAGTCAGAACTCCAGGCCCCTGGCTCTGACCGTCCCTCATGGGCATCCTTGCCTTTGACCGTT